GTACCCATTGGGTGGGGTACAAATAAAATTTTATTATTATTATTATTACTATGATAGAGTCACCTTAAGATCACAGTAAATCGGAAATTACTTGAAGGCACATGGCACCAACAGTTCAGGAATGGACCAACTTCTGTATTGTTCCTGGCCACTTTGTTCTGTAGGATGTGGTCCTGAATCCAAAATGTATTTTCTTCAGCAGGAACAGGCTGTATAATAAAGTTAGTGTTTCCTTGCAGTAAGGGCTACATAGTTCTTATGCATAAATTCTTTGGCATCATGGTGTTTGTCAGGAGCTAGGCAGGGATGGGATGAAAAAATGAATGTGCTATCCAAAAGACCTCTTGAACAGGAACAACCTGAGGCACTTTTCTGCCTAAAAGGACAAGCTGATGTTGTGATGTATCAGAAGACAACTAGATTAGCAGTAGCATATTACCATCACTGAGCATGAGATAACCAGGCAGCATACTAGTTCAGAATGTTCAAAACAAGCCATTGACAGATTTCAATAGAAGGAAATGCCTGGAGAGCTCAGGATAAAAGACTAGAGGGTTGCCATCACTGCTTCATCTCAGCATCTGCTGCCTGAAGCACTTGCTCTGCCTAATGATAGGTCTGGCCTAGATTTTGAATCCCTGTGATCCTTTGCCTTTCTATAATATATATATGAGAGTACAGTAAGGTAACATTAATTTACAATAGACACAATTTTGTAGTCCTACTTGAGATTCAGCCATCACATCCAATATGTCTTAAATTTCATGTCCCTATATTTCCAAACCCATTTTTAGCATCAATTTTCTTCTGGGAAAACTATATAATTATGGTGATCTTGATCCTGACCTGCTCATCATTGTGATCATAATTCCTGTCATCATCATAATAGTAATATTTATACTATACTTCTAATAAAAAGGATCATGGCCCATATTAAGGTATCTGAGCCTTTAGTTGCTCCTCCCTTGCATAGGTGACTCTGCCCACTTGCATCCTATGAAATGACTGAGCCATAAAAAGGCAAGAAGTACCATGTCAGATCACATCAGAGGTCTATTGACCTCAGCTTTCCATGCCCATAGTCCAGCATTCATCTTAATAAGTTATTCCAATTTTTTAAAAAGAACACAAAATCTCTATTCCGATATTCCGTTCTCACAGTGACCAACCAGATACCTGTGGGAAACTTAAAAGCAGGACATGAATACAACAGCACCCTCTAGTTTTCTTTCCTTTCCTAGGAGAAAAGTGAGATATAAATCCAATAAATAAATAAATAAAATTTTCCCCAGCAACTGGTTTTCAAAAGCAACTTATTTCAGTACTAGAGGCAATGGATAGCTATCATGACTAATAGCATTATCCTCTATGAATTAGTCTAATCCTTTTTAAAGTCAATGAAATGGGTCACCCTACAAAGTTCATTTTGGTTTTAGTTCCAAGGATTTGACATACACATAGATCCAAATATGTCTGCGCTCACACACACACACACACACACAGAGAGAGAGAGAGAGAGAGATTTATGATGGCTGGTCTACTTCTTATTAAAAGGCTGCTAGAAAACATCCCTAAACTATCTCCTAATTGAAATCCTGCTATGTCTCTTGAGGAATCCAAAATATGGAACATTGTGGAACTATTAAGCCAGGCTCGTTATAAAATATATAATAACCTATAATAAAATGATAACAATAGGGTCATCATTTAGAGAGCCAGTATGGTATAGTGGTTTGAATGTTGGACTATGACTCTGGAGACTAGGGTTCAGTTCCCCACTCAGCCATGAAACCCACTGGGGTTGATCTTGGGCTGACTGGCCTAATGACTTGCCCTTGGGCAAGTGACACAGTCTCAGCTTCAGGGGAAGGAAATGGCAAACCCCTGCCAAACTAGTCTTGCTAAGAAAACTCCATGACAGGTTCACTTTAGGGTTTCCATAAGAAATGACTTGAAGGCACACAACACACACACACATAAGGTAATTATTTACTTTATTATATTGCCAGGAACTCTACTATTCCAAATGTTCTAATTATGTAAATGCAGAAGTGTTAATTATCTGCATCCCATTCCTTAGCAGAAGGCTTGACCACCCATCTGTGAGCTTTCCACACATCAATCAGCATGATCCAGATTGTGTGCCAGTGACACAAACAACTAGTCTAAATATGCTAGTTAACTTGCCAGTTGACTAACTAAGCAGCCCTGGTGAGTGACATAGTTCTAAACTACACTGCAGAAATAATGCAGCTTGATATTGCTTTAACTGCCCTAGTTCACTGCTGTGGAATTCTAGGATTTGTACTTCTGTGAGATATTTAGCCTTATCTATCAGAGAGCTCTGGTGCCACAACCAACTACAAATCCCAGAATTCCACAACATTAAGACACAGCCATTAAAGTGGTGACAATGTGCATTATTTCTCCAGTGTAGATTAGATCATAGTAAAGTATAACAGCAGCAATATTCCTCATTTTGACTTGCAACTCTCCTTACTTGCACCCTAGTCCTCCATTATATTTGTGTCCATTTTGTCACATCTGATGCATCTTTTCTGATGTCAGGTTCATGGACACATGCTTACCATCTCAGCTTTGAAGTTTGTTGTGGTTGATTAAACATCAGCTCTCAAATACCATAGTAGTTTCCCCTGGCTGGTGGAAGAGCAGGGAGACAAGATGGCCCAACAAGACATAATGTATTACTTGTTAGAATATAGATGGGTTATACAGTCAAAGGTGAAATGTAGA